TATATATATATATATATATATATATATATATATATATATATATATATATATATGTGTATGCTTGGGAAATTCTCTTGCATCTTTTACATCGCATCAAAAGTTTAAAAATAGTTCTAATAGGAAAAAGATTACACACAGAAGGTTTTCGTCTTCCAGCTTGTAAGAACTGCATTAAGCACCACCAGATGTATAAATTCGAGTCTTATTCTATGTTTTACAATGAGTATGCGTCCAGTCCGTCGTTTCGGCCTCCAAATGTGATGGTAGTGTTTCAAGCACATTTTAATATATTTCAGTGGGCATGGAAAAATATCCTATTGGCATCACAGCGCATAAGATGTCCATATTTTCTAACTGCCGGGTCACGAACTATAGCAGAAGCGAACATAAAAAAAATACGACAAGTTATAAATGTAGAGCCTAAATATAATGCACTAAATAGTTTTAAATCCTATATGCCATGCAGACTATTGTCTTCTAATTATGTTGGTTATCCTAATTCGCATGTAATTATTTATGATAATTTAAATTCTCAGAAATCAGAAACAGTGACCTCTTCTCCTTGGACGTCCTGAGCACGATAGATTGGAAGATTTTGTGCATAATAATTGCTATGTTTCTTTGATAGATTGCGTATATAAATTTCGAATTTTTTAAAAATAGATTATTTTTGCTAATATATTGTGAGTATGTTACTTTTGGGAATATTTTTATATGGTTTTTTTTTATAAATTTTGAATATTTTTAATAAAAGGTATAGATTTAATTGCTCCTAAATTGTGTTTTTATTCCAACTTTGAGTTCTGATCAAATATTAGTCACGCCATGTATTTTTGTCCCTGATTTTATAAATTTTCGAAACTTCTCGTCATTGAGCAAGCTTCTAACAAGCAGACCAAAATATATGACATACACCAAAGATGCTAGATTTTGATGTCTGTGTATATAAAACATTACTTGGAATATATTACTTTTCTAGGCTGGGAAAAAAGATCATATATAAATTTTATTATAAAATTATTAGATCATATATGAAATACATTATGAAAATATGACGGTAATATATAAGTATATGAAGGAGGATACGTTAACTTGCAAAAGTTACTAAATATTTTCTGCTTTGTTCCGTGACAGTCTTGGAAGTTTTTTCTCTCCCAGATATGGCCAACGAAATACATAGACAAACGAGACAAGGACGGCAATCGATTGTTGGTTTTTATCAAACTAACCGTCCTGGTTCGCGCGAGTGATAGTATATCGATGGACATTTACATACAGAGATGTTATTTTACATTTTTGCACAGGAGATTTCCAAAGTCAACTCTGGATATGTCTATAGCTCCTGTAGATCTTTAAAATATAAATTAGCCAGCTAATAATGTATTATGTGTTAAGCCGAGACGTGAACCACTTAACATTTTTTTGTCAAGATTTGTACCAAAATGTTTTGAGTTTCCGTCAAGTAATAAGGAAAGTGATAAATAAAAGAAACTATAGAATAAATTTAATAAGTTGATAATAAATTTCGTATATGTTATGCATGACACATTATTTGGTAATGGATATTCGTATGTTATATTTTCGAATATAATTCAGTTTGTTAATAATACACACGTGGCACTTAGGAAAATAAAAATTGTAAATATCTTCTCAGTGTCCTGTAACACGAATATATACATTGAAAATAGCTTGTATATAGCTTCACAGTGTCCTCGCAACAATTATTAATTATATCCAAGAACTGTACGAAGACCACTAATTATTAAATTTCTTTGCTAAGCTACCATATTTTACGTACGCATAATTTCTAAATTAAATTTACAATAAAGTATTCTTTATCCTCAGGGAAATATATCCTTATGGCCTTTTTCACGAATTTTTTGAAAGACCTGTTGTATTATTCGTGATCTCTCGATCGTATTGATTATAATCGTATTGATTTCTTCCATCCAAACGTTTGTCACGTTTGCAAAAAGACGAATAATAGTGCTTTGTTATTATGTAGTAACTGTTACATGATCTCATACTGCTCCGATGTACATCTAATAATAGATCTGTCCCAACACGAGAAGTTTTGCCGTTATCTAAAAACATACACAATAGTTGAAAATATGTGATAGGTGCTACATGATCTCTTACTGCTCCGATTTACATTTAGATTATATTTAGATTAAAGCTACCATAAGAAATTCTGCAGTTCCATAAAAAAATACGCAATAAATAAGAACGGCACGAAATGGCGCTCTGTTCGTTTTTCCAAGCCTTAGTGGATTCGATCAAGATATGCATTTTTGCGTGAAATAACTGAGCAGTTCTCATTTAAACTAGCGTTGCACGAAATCCAGATGATCATTTTTGCAAAATCATATTATTTATGCTATTAATAAGATTTTTTGCATTCCTGTCAAACGTGCTATTCTGAAAATTATTGTGTTAAGTACGAAACTTTTCAGATCATCATTCATCAAAATGCAACGCGTTGAAATTATATCTCAACTCAAGTATCCTAAACCTTCTCAGTTATCATGTACTTGGATATACAGTACCCATATTTCTGGAACTATATACTGAATTTCCTGATGACAAGAGACTCGTTGAAAATATGGAAAATTTTATTATGGGATATGTACATAATTATTATCATAAGAATATTCGACGCTGGATTTCTGTTGAATATCAACCTATATTTCGATTACATATCATGTTCGTTAACGCTGTATGATGGAATAAAGAAAGCCGGATTATTAGATACCTTAAACATAGAAGAATGCATTGTACACATAATATCAGAAGGTTTCGTTAAAAAACAATATATGCATGCTTGGGAAATTCTCTTGCATCTTTTATATCGCATCAAAAGTTTAAAAATAGTTCTGATAGGAAAAAGATTAGAAATAGGAGGTTTTTATAGCTTGTGAGAACTGTATTAGACGCAAGCAGAAGTATATATTCGAGTTATTCAATGTTTTACAACGAGTTTGTGTCCAGTCTGTCGTTTCGGCTTCCAAATGTGATTGTAGCGTTTCAAGCACATTTTAATGCATTTCCGTAGATATGGAAATATATTCTATTGGAATCACAGCTCATTAAATGTCTATATTTTCTAAATGCCGGATCGCGATTTATATCGGCAGTGAACATACAAAGCATACAAGAAGCTATAAATATAGAGCCTAAGTATAAAATGCACCAAATAATTTTAAATCCTATACACCATGCAGACTATTCCCAGTAAACACAAAGTAACAGTAACATAACATCAATGTTACAATTTCCTACTCAACAATGTAACTGTTATATAACGCGCATGTTATATAACAGTTACATTGTTGAGTAGGAAATTATAACATTGATGTTATGTTACTGTTACTTTGTGTTTACTGGATTGTTTTTTGATTATGTTGGTTATCGTAATTCGTATGTAATTATTGATGAGAATTTAAATTCTCAGAGATCAAAAACAGAGACATTTTCTCCTACGACGTCTTGAGTACGAAAGATTTTAAATTATTCTGCAATATGATTACTATGTTTTTTTGATAGATTGTGTATATAAATTTCGAATTTTTTTAAATAGATTATTCTTACTAATATATTGTGAATGTGTTACTTTTAGAAATATTTTCATATGATTTTCTTTATAAATTATGAATATTTTTAATAAAAGGTTTATATATTTAATTGCTCCTTGTTGTCTTTACTGAACTAACTTGACGTAACCTGCCTGCTTATAGGCGTCAGATGTGTCTTAAAAGCAGAAAATGCGTGTCTTTAAATGATTTATAACATATTCAAGAGCCGTCCATTAAAGTCATCGAGAGAAACTTACAAACTTTCCCTCGCGAGACTTAATTAGTCACGAGAAATAAGGATGAATCGATATGGAGTATATTATCGAAGACTACTTAATGGCTAAGCTAAGTGATTAGAATGAAAATGATCGGTTGTAATGATAAGGATAATTTAGCGACATGTAGTTTATCAGTGTCTGTTATTGCTACGCGAACTTGTCGATAAAGTAGACTTTTTCTAAATTTAGGAAACATGTCGAGACGAACTGAACAGCCTTCGCGAAGCGCGCGACTCGGTGGACGCCCCTTAGATGTGTAAAAGATTGCAAGAAATATTTACTTGCATACTATATACGGATGCGAATGTGTGGATCACTTTACTGACCGGTAATGAGAGTTATATTTTAGCGTAAATTAAAGTGACAGGTATTGTAATAAACCAAACGGAAGAGCCATTGTTTTATATTACGCTCTCTCGCTCTATTGTGTAATAATTGTTTTATATATATACACATATATAATATATAATAATGTTGACTGGTTCGAGAGACTCTCCAATCGAACTCCCGTCACTCCCGCGACAATATAACTGTTTCTTTTCCTAGATAAGAAACATAAGGGAGATGACGCTTAGCGAAAAAGAAAAAAAAACTGTATCCCACTTCTTTCATTAGATATTAATAGATGGTAAATGATGATTGTGGTTTAATTGTGCATTCGATCATTGCTGCTTTCTTAGTTATTGAGTCGTACTCCATAAAAAAGAGAAAGCTCGAAAGACTAAGAATTTTTTACTATTACTAATACTTACATTTTTCTTGAGCACACACGTACGCACACGCACACACTCACACACACACGCACACGCACGCACACGCAGGCACACACTTTGTAGCTGCTGAGTGATGGCGAAGCATTTACGTCATATCATATAAATATTGTAGAACTTTTATAATATTCATTATTTTTTGTCACACACAAAAACTTAACAAAATTTTGCAGTCACAAATAAATAGATAGAACCAAACTATACCTTCCTATCTTTTGCAATTTTATCTGCACAATAAAAGCGCGATATGTTAGTGTTGGATGATTCATGTTTTAAAAACGATATTAAAAGAATTTCTAAAGATTTGCGTATTTCGTCTTGTTTCAGGCAAGTATCGTTTAAACTACCGTATCAATCTTTTTAATAATGATAGTTTAAAATCTTATTTTTTTTGTTCTTTCTTTATTTTTTTATTCCTTTACTTTTTATTCCCTGTTAAAATATAAATTTAATAAACTGTTAAAGAACTCCGTACATATTTATGCGCGACACATTATTTGGTAACAGTTATTCGTACGTCGTTATATTTTCGAACATAACTCAGTTTGTCAACAATATACATATAGCATTTAGAAAAATAAATATTGTAAATATCTTCTCAGTGTCCTTTAACACGAAGATATACATCGAAAATAGCTTGTAAGAAGCTCGGAACAATAGCGTCCTCGGAAAAATTATCAGTTATATCCGAGAACTGTGCGAAGACAGCTACCTAATTTTTCTGCTAAGGTACCATATTTCACGTACGCATAATTTCCAAATTTACAATAAAGTATTCGTTATCTCATTCGTTATTCAGGGAAACAAAATATATCCTTATAGCCATTTTCATGAATTTTTTGCAAGGTTGGTGCATCCGTGGTCTTTTGGAGGAATTGCAGGAACGCGATAGTCGGTTGGCATTATTGCGAATACTCAATCTTATGATCAATAAAATACGATAAACAAATACAATCCGATGCACGAAGGGTGTTATTTCGAGTTACCGTGTGAGATACAGCTGAAGCGAGCTGTGATTAACGTGAAATTTATAGACTATGCGTGTTTCGCGTGGACGATGATCCACCGCTCTACATCCAGTCGATAGATATACAAGATCGCACATCATCGTATCTCCACTACACTGCACGAGCGTACTCAATCTTCAAGACATTGAGTTTCTCATGAAAATTAACCAAATAATAAGATTTGAACGATTAAGAAAAGAACGAAGCGTCTATCACATTGTTCCGATACGTCTCAACGACAGGAAGAAGAAAAACACGTCAACTTACTACACATTTTGAATCTTCGAGACCACAACGCGGGACATTTTGCCTGGATCAAGAACTTATCCTGGCTCGCAGTTGAGCAAGAAAATACATTTGCGATTGGTAAGTACATTTCATGAATTCAATATATCAGAAGTATGCAATAAGACGATAGTAAATAAAAATTGCAACGTTTGTAGGTATCTACACTACTTCCATTTCAACAAGAAGCTAGAGAGTTACACAACAAATTGCCAAAAATTGAATGACTGTGCCATCATTCTGCCGACTGTTGACAACAAGTGGCTAAGCTTTAGCAGGAAGAAGCGAATTCCATTTGTAGTGTACGCTGACCTGGAGTATACGCTGGAGAAGACTGCAAAGAATGGGGAGGGTCACAAATCGCACACGTATCAGCATCACAAGGTATTTAGCATAGCGTACTACTTGTATTGCTCGTACGATTCATTATCATATTTTCGGAGCCGTCACGATGCTGATTGCTTTTCATGGTTCATCGAACAACTCGAGGTGTTAGCGCACCGCGTAAAAGTAATTTTATCCACCAATGTCCCCATAGAAACTTTGTCGAAAGAACAATGGGCGCTATTTTGTAATGCGACGCATTGTCATGTGTGCGAGAAATCATTCGTGGCGGAGGATACGCGCGTACGCGATCAATGGCCGCGTTCAGCAGAGAAAGCTGCTTTGCAACTGTTGTAAAATTCGTCAATCTGATTGGTATATGCTCTTGGATTCAACCAAAATTAAGAGCATACTCCAATCAGATTCACGAATTTTACAACAGTTGCAAAGCAACTTTCTCTGCTGAACGCAGCCATTATTATTTTACCGAACGTTTCAGTATTAAAAATACTGGATAATAAGTAATTATCAATGATTCTTAGTATGATATTTTTATAAGGGTACCTATTACCAAGGAAAAGTACAATGAAAAAAAGTACAAAAAATACGTGTCTAATGTTTTTCGATATACTACATGTGTACAAAGTTTCAAAAAGATCGGCGTGTGGTACTTAGGTAGTGTTACACGTAAGTTGCACAAAGTATATACAGTATTCGAAATGAAAATCGCTCTAATAGTCCATACGACGATAAGCGATATATTGTATCAACCGATACGTTACCATGGGGACATTATCGTATACCACTATATATAAAACATAGAGAAAAGTAGCTAAAAGCGACATAGACCTCCTAAAGCGACACACTTCTATATCTCATATATGAAATGTTGTATTTTATTGAAACTATTATAAACGTAATTTGTTTTACCAGTAAAGTCATGAAAAAGTTATACTTGGTATATTTCTTGTTCTTTTATGTGCTAAATTAGCAAATATTGAGTTTTAGAAATTCGCAAGTTTTATTTCTATGATTTTTATTGGCGAATTACGTAGACTAAACATCGATAATTATCTTTTTGTTCAACATTAAGTTCTTGTAGACGCATTTAGCTTTTGTACAAATATTTTTTGAATATTTTAATCTTTATCACTTTTTTACTGTGTAACTTGAAAAATTTTATGAGAATGTGTTTTAAAGTGACATACCTATAGTATGCGGTAGTTACGATAGTCTGTGACTAACATAACCTGATTCTATCCAGTAAACATGCATGTCTAAAAGATGTCGAAAAGATATCTAAAAGATATCTTATGCAACATTTTGTTGCATAAGACGTCTTTTAGATATCTTTTCGACATCTTTTAGACATGCATGTTTACTGGGTAATCTCATATTGTGAAGTGACATGTGATGTATATGAATTTACTCTGCTGCAATAATGTAAATGTAAATAATTTTCAGTAATTATTTATAATTATATACATCAGTGAACACTAACTAACATAAATATTGCTTTTAAATAAAATGAATATTATTCAACTATTAAACGAACTATTTATTATCAAATATTATATTATATGCAACATGTTATATAACTTCCAATAGGTATGTCGCTTTTGGTACCTATTTTATTTGAACTTTATTTTCGTGCGTTTTAAAAAAACATTTTTTGTTTTAAGTCTAGAAACAATTTCAGTAAAAATATGATATTATCTGATAGAGGATACTTTCAACTACATGTATATATATATTTACATTTATATTTTGAGCTTTACATTAAGACATAACCTTCAAAAACAAAATGATATGCCGTTTTTGGTGCCTTAAAGCTTGATCTATAATGTGTTATTTGCTTCCTGTTACTTTTTCTTTATCTCTTTCTGACTCAAGCCTTAAACCTTAAACTAAAAAAAGACAGAAAACAAGAAACAGGAAGCAAAGAACACATTGTAGATCAGGCTTTACTCTATATATTAAAACATGTGTACCCGGCTAAATTAAGACATATATTAGGTTAGGATATAATAATGTCGAATGCGATAATAAATACATTACTTTTTATATAAAATAGAACTTCGATAGCAGTTTGCGATTGATGTGCGATTGTTAATAAAGATTCAAATGTATTACAACAATTGTTTATTGATTATTTTAATAAAATATAAAATGCATTTTACAATATATTATCCTTTTGTATCCATGAGTTGTAGGAATTGCTAAATCCCAACCATTTCACGTAAACCTTGTCATCTTCTCTGCGCAATATTTTTTCCACCAGGTATACATCAGGATTGTTAACATGCAGTTCACGTTCGTAGAATCCTCCGGCGACAGGCTGTCCACGAAAATCCTTGAGCAAATGAATTACGGGTTAGTTGCCTGTACTTTGGCAATGGTGAATATTTCAGTTGTCCGGTTCGGCGTGTAACTCTTCTGGAAGACAGTCTTGAATTTGCTAACACATACATGGTTGCCCACTTTGAATTAATGTTATGTTTTTTTACTAGTTTCTGAACATCTACGTTGTAAAACTTTTCCTTCATCGGTTTGCAAATTTTTCGGACATCTTTCATCGAATTATCTTGGCTTCAGCTACCTCCTTTCCGCTCTTGCTCTTTAGCGGTACAGCCTACGCATATTTGCTCAACACATCGATAACGGTGAGTATGTAATGATAGCTGCTGTCGAATCTCGAATAAGGACGCATCTTTACCATATCGGCTTGCCACAGATCATCGTATCCGCGCATTATGACGCGCCTACGGGGAAAATTTTTTCTCGCTGGAGCGTGCAACTCCTCCATCAACCGCCGCTTTTCAGAGTGTTTCTTCTTTTCGTCAGTTTTACTTTTGTTGATCTTTTTTCCCATTATATGGAGTATCGTTTTGAGAATTGTCACCTATATTACACCTCACACACACACTTTTCCTCCACCCAATCTTTGAAAAAAAGTATCTATGTAGATATGCAATAATTTCGTATCTCGTAGGTATATCGCTGATATATCATAGGTGTGTTCGATAAGTATACGATAAGCTCGAAAGCATACGATAGTGGATGTTTAAAGATAAATTTTTATCGGGGCTGCATAGTTTCGGAGGGGGTAAACTCTACTACTTGAAAAGATTTGTCTTCCTCAAAACGTCTCTCGAACTCTTTCTGGAATATTCGAGAATATTCTATAAGGTGGCGGCGCGGACGGATGGCACGAGCCGGAGAGGGGGAAAAGGCCGTCGAAAATCTACCGCGAGCGAAACGCGGAGAGGGGAGGATCGTAGGATCGATAAAAATGATCAATTATGTCGGTAAAAAAAATTATGTTAAAAAATATGCCGGTAAAAATAAATGATCAATTATGTCGGTAAAGGAAATTACGTCGGTAAAAATTATGTTAAAAAATATGTCGATAAAAATTATGTTAATAAATATGCCGGTAAAAATATCGGTAAAAAATATGCCGGTAAAATACCGTTGGTAACCCCCTTCACCGCGTGACGTTATACCCCTCGCTCTAGGTATCCCTAGGTTTTGAGTTTCCGTCAAGTAATAAGTATAAAATAAAGTATATATAGAATAAATTTAATAAATATAGAATAAATAATAATATAATAAATATTAATAATAGATTAAATTTAATAAATTGTTAAAGAACTCCGTATATATTTATGCGCGACACGCGCATTTATTAATATTTATTTGGTAACGGATATTTGTAAATTCTTATACTTTCGAATATAATTCAGTTTGTCAACAATACACATATGTCACTGAGGAAAATAAATATTGTAAATACTTTCTCAATGTTCTATAACACGAATATATATATCGAGAGTAGCTTGTAAGTAGCTTCCCGGTGTCCTCGGAACAATTATCAGTTATATCTGAGAACTGTGCGCAGACAACTAACCATCTAATTTCTCTGCTAAGGTACCATATTTTACGTATGCATAATTTTTAAATTGAAATTATAATAAAGTATTCGTTATCTTAAGGGAAACAAAATATATCCTTATGGCCATTGTCACGGATCATTTGGAACCCTTGACGTATCATTCGTGGCTGCCCCATCGTATTAATTATAACGATTTCTTTCATCCAAACATTTGTCACTTTTGCAAGAAGACGAATAATGATGACTTGATATTATGTAATAACTGCTACATGATCTCTTATTGCTCCGATGAACATCTATTAACTGATCAGCCTCTACACGAGGTGTTCTGCAGTTACCTAAAAACATACACATTAATTAAATACGGCCACAAATGGCGCTCTTTTCGTTTTTCTGAGCCTCAATGGATTCAGTCAAGATATGAATTTTTGTGCGAAATAACTAAGCAGTTTATTGATCTAACGCTGCACGAAATCAATATCATTATTTTCGCAAAATCATGTTATTTGTGCCATCAACAAGAATTTTTATATTACTGTCATACGTGCTATTCTGAAAATTATTGTGCTGAGCATGTACATAACTTTTCAAATCATCACTCATCAAAATGCGAGGCGTTGAAATTATATCTCAACTTAAATATAAAAAATATCTATTTTAATATGTACCAATTTATTCGGATATGCACTGAATTTCCTGATGACGAGAAACGTGTTGAAAACATGGAAAATTTTGTTATGGGATATGCACAAAACTCTCATCATACGAATATTCGAGAGTGGATTTATAGTGAATACATATATTCCGATTATGCATCACGATCGTTAACGTTGTATGACGGAATAAAGAAAGCCGGATTATTAGATACTTTAGACGTAGAGGAATGCGTTTTACACATAATATCAGGAGGTTTCGTTCAGAAAAAGTATGTGTATGCTTGGGAAATTCTCTTGCATCTTTTACATCGCATCAAAAATTTAAAAGTAGTACTAATAGGAAAAAGATTAGAAGTAGGACGTTTTAATGTTCTACCTTGTATGAACTGCATAAAGCGCTCCCTGATGTTTACATTCGAAATTTATTCTTTGTTTTACGACGAGTTTATGTTAAGTCCGGCATTTCATCCTCCAAATATAATTATAGCATTTCAAGCAGATTTTAAGGCATTGCCGTGGACATGGAAAAATACTCTATTGGTATCACAGCGCATTAAATGTCCATATTTTCTAACTGCCGCGTCACAAACTATAGCGGAAGCGAACATACAAATCATACAAGAATCTATAAATGTAGAGCCTAAATATAATGCACCAAATAATTTTAAATCCTATGTACCATGCAGACTATTGTCTTCTGATTATATTGGTTATCCTAATTCGCATGTAATTATTTATGAGAGTTTAAATTCTCAAAGATCAGAAACAGATACATCTTCTCCTTCGACATCCTAGATACGA